GGTATGCGAGACTGTTAGTTTGTGGTGCGGTGTGTAATTGCTCGTGATTGCGTAAGATGTTGCCGCCATGATTTGCCATGGATTTGCCCCCTCCCTTCCTCCCGAGCACACGGAGAAAAAAGTTCGGGTCGTGCAACTAAACTATTTTGGACTGTTCCTTTGAACAGTATGTCTAAACGGTTTGGGTGCTACGCCATAACATGTGGGCGCGGCCCTCAAAAACGGTCAATCACCAGATCCTAATTAATTCGGCTCTACGATCCAAACGCAGTTTCGCTCTCGCACTCAAAGTAGGTTTCGGTGCTCGAGTTTAGCTCTGAGTCCCAAACTCCGGTCGACCCGAAGACGTGACGCGAGCGCTGAGCCGACCCGAACCCGAAGATGGCTTGTCCAGTTTCGTCGCGCTGCGCTACCGCTGCCGTTACACCGACGACGTGTCGGACGAGAGGGGCGAGACGCGGGACGGAAACACCGGTGACGAATTCGTTTATCGAAAATAATTAAAGTTCCGCGGCTGTGAAGATTTCTCAGCTGATGTTACAAGTAAGTATAATGTGATCATCTTACTCATCATACTTCCGTACTCGATGTAGATAAAAAGGTGTTGTATGCCAAGATTACTCCTAACCTAAAAATGGCACCCTCTAGGCTAAGAGAGCCCTCGGCATACCCGCCGGTTTTCTGACATTATCGAATGTCTGCAAACTGTTCTCGTTATTCGACTTATTGTTACTTGCGCCGATCGACCTCGCCCAACATTGATTAGATAATAACCCTATTTGCCACTCATACATTTTTCTGTTACAGAGTACGACATCGACGATCTTTCCGAGGTTAGGATCGCCTCATCACTTAATGTTTCTGGAATTTGTGGTTTTACATGTTTGTATGTGATGTAAGGCCTCTAATAAAAGTATTATTATCAATGAACTTGTGAAAATGTTATTTCTTAAAAGTACCTCACAAAGAACTGGATTAGTTTTGCAAAGGTTGTTTCAAGAACAATTCTGTTTTACCAGACGACTATAAATACATGGACAAAATAAACCAAACCGCGTACAAACCTAGCCAATTTTGTTGACAGTTTAGATCGTGTACATGATCACTCCCATTCTAGAATAAAATTTTTTTTGTCGCCTACTAATAAGGATTAGTCACAGTGACTGGATGTCTGGGTGGGGAGAGAAAAGTTACATTGTCTAAGACAACAAAATATTTTCTGATCGAGTAGCTAAATAAAGATTAGACATGACGTTGAAAAAATTCGGCCATGATACCTATTAGGTTTGGGCAGTTTCGCCAAACACCATCGTCAGAACTATTTGGGAGCAGCACCCAAACGTTTGGATAGTACTTTTTGTTCGGGACTCACACCGAAACTTTTGGGTGTCAGTCGCGAACTTTTCTCTCCGTGTGCACCACCTGCCGGCTCGCCAATCCTTGATACATTCATGGAATATTCAGGCACCTCCCCTTCCTATTCCCTGCGACCGCGTGGGAGCGGCGTCGCTCCTGATGCTCGCAGTTGCTTTCATTATGCTGCTCTGCGATAAATGGCAGTATCGCCGTCGCCCACGCAGCGAGAGGACCGACCAACCAAACAGGGGCGGCGTGTCCTTTAGAGAAGATGACGATATGATCGCCCACACTGAGAGAAATGTTTCGTTGCAGCCATCAAAAATTGTTCAACCAGTCCGGATTAGTCTTGGCCATCAAAATTTTAGACACAGCAACTAAACTTTTGGTTACAGCAAACGACATTTTGGTTACAGCAACTAAAATTTTGATGCCTGTGACTAAGCCGGACTGACCGAACAAAGTTCGGTCGTGGGTATCAACATTTTGATGGCTGCAACGAACCATTTCTCTCAGTGCAGATGGCCTTAACCGAATGAGGACGCTGAGCGCGCTCGTGAGCTTGTGTACCCCGTCAAGGGCATAAAGGTGGGCGGGTAGAGCAGGGCCTGAGCTGTCATCGACTGTCATGGTGTCATTGGCCGAGCAATAACGTAGCCTTTCGTAATCCTGTGACGAAAACGTTTTTCTTCTTTGTGCCATGGTGGCAGGTGGTTTGCGGTTTCACGATGTTTTCTCCCATGTCGCTTTTGTTTTCCAGTTTTCTTCCAGGTGCGCCACTATTGTAGCACATTTTCCTGAAATATCTAGGCGCTACATCACAAATTGTTCTAGAGCTAAACGTTTACTTTCAGTTTTTATTTGGGTGCATTGCGGCTGATGGACTGCATAGCTCAGTGAAAGTGTGAGGTGTGAGGTGCTGGTTCATTCTGTCGCAGCGTTCTTGTTTTCCCTGCGCCTGGGGCAGATCAGCCTGCCACCTGCGTCCATTACATTACCTAGAGGCTAGCAGCTTACAGCGACGCTGAAAATAAATAAAAATAAAATGTGTTTAGACCATATGAGGTGTACAGCGACGCTGAGCCACCTCATATGGTCTTAACACATTTTATTAAAAACATGTGGGAAAGACTAAAAACCGTGGAAGAGGAAAATGTGTGTCTCACAATCCGGGAAAGCACTGTGATTTGTTTTTCGCAAATTTACAACGTATTTTGTTTTTCTGTTTTACTAAATATGTTTCAAATTTACGACAGCCCTTTCTTGTTTTAGTCTATGAACTCAAAGTCGTTACACAGTACGTAAAATCTTACAGTTTCCAATATTGTAATTTTTCAACGGGAAATTTTCCTGTAAGTTTGCGAGTATCTCTCACAGTGAAGGGGAAAAGGCGGTGCTATTGACGTTGTGGCCTGACAGCGGCTTTTCTTTGAACGTGATTCCATACCGTGAGAGGAGAGGGTGACGAAAGAGGAGAGAGGGAAGAGAACCAACAAGCAACAGCAACACACGGCAGGCTGACGGGTCCAGCACTCAGGGACGCCAAGGGGCCGACTTCTCCTGGGCGTGGGCAGGGCAGGGCTAGGGGCCGAGGCCTGGGCCGTCAGTGGCCGCGGGGGGCCCTGCCTGGACCACCGCCGCTTCAGAGACCGCATCAAAGGTGGCCACCAAACACGCCCTCTGGATTTCGGAATGGCACGCAAAATAGTTGCACTGCTGTGTGGTGCAGTGCGGGAAGAGGGAGGGAGGGGAGGGGGGGGGTTGTCTACTGTGGGAACTCGTCACAGTTTATAGTGAGCTGCAGTTATATGCGTATTACAAAAACATTTTTAGCAGCTTTAGTGACCTTAGAAGGAAACAATTTCACGCAACGCAATTTCCCTCCCTAACTGTAAGAAAAGGTGCGATTTCATGTATCAATTGCTTAAATTTGTGACATATCTTTCGGAAAATATGTGCCATGCTAGACACACGCTGTCCCAATAGAAAGGTGCAATTCGTCGCACAGCTATTGATGTGCACTAAATCGCGCCCTTTCTTGGTCTCTCCCTCCCTCTCTCTCTCTCTTTTTTTTAAAAACTAGGTGAAGGTGTTTGTCATTCATTTTATTTTGACCAGTCAAAAGAGTTTTAAATCCGCTAGGTGCTTCAAATTAGGAGAACGTTGCGATGTTTGTTTACAAATTTACTTCACTCCACGGTTCTAAATTTACTTCACTCCACGGTTCTAAATTTACCTCCACTTCAGCGTAATGGGATATGCACTCTCCTGCGGGAGCATGCTCCATGCTCCTGATTTTCGCCGCTCCTCCTTCCCGCCCCACTCAGGCGCACCCGGTCCATCCGACTGACACGCAATCTGAGATATACATTAATTCCACGGCGCTTTACATACCGGATCGGCTTGAATTCTATCACAGACCACTCCCGGGCTGCAACTTCGGCGCGCCCCCACTTCATCCACGCCTTCTCCCCGGTACTCCCAGCTCCCATGGTCACTCCCTCGAATCCTCTAGTGTTTGTTGTGCCTGAAACTGTTCAACACTTATGGCGCATTCGGTCCGTGGTCGTGTGTTCGTCTCCTCCGGTCTCCTCACGTCAGCTTCCTTGTCACAGCCCTCCCCTACCCAATTCCCCCGCATCCTACCAGTGGTTTGGCTCGGTTTGGCTGCTATCTCGCAGCGGCTAGCCCGGCACCCTTAATTGCCTAGGCAGCCAGTGGTCTGTCGAGGCCCCTCCAGAGGCTGCCTCGGGACAGTCCGCTCTAAAAGCCGAAGCGGGGCTGGGGTCCTCCCAACGGGAAACAAGTCCCGCAGAATGTCCGGCCGCTGCCGGGCCGGCGGCGGTATGGAGGGAAATGGGAAAGGGATTTTTGGGGGGATAGAGGGGGGGGGATCATCTCGCTGGCTCCTAATATCTACTAGATTTATATCCTTTATTTGGACGGATTTTAGCAATCGAAGTTTTTGTTTGTTCAGAATTGTGCAGTCTTTTCAGCACAAAGTTTTCGAGCACACAAAAGTTTATCATAGCGGTCGGCCTCTTTGCTTGCCTAGATTTGGCAACTTTTAAAAGAAATTTTATGTCCACTTTGAATGTCAACTTTTAGCCCAATGTTTCAGCATTCTCTTAGAGAGTACTAGGTTAGACATGTATTGTATTGCATTGAATCAAGAGAATTATTCACTTTTTATTTGGGTATGTCGTAGAGAGAGAGCCAGTACTTTTTGGTCATTGCTCAATGCTATCCTGTGACCTGTTCTAGGGGGGCGGTGGCCGTGTTGGCTGCCGTACTGCTGGCCGCCGCGCCCTGCCTTCCGCAGGAGCCGCGGGGGGCGGTCGGGGAGTCAGTGCCGGAAGCGGCGGGGGAGCCGGCTGCCAACCTCATTGAGCCCATGCACGCACTGGACCCCCGTCAGCGGCACGGCTGCGGCTGCGACGGAGAAAAGACCCCCTCCTGGGCGGATGGGGCCTCCCTCAACTGCAGCTGCTCTGGCCTCCAGCTGCTGTCCATCCCGCCGGCGCTCAGCGACAGGCCCATCCGATCACTGTAAGTAAGCACGCTGATTTTTTGTACTCTGCCGTCTCTGATATCTCAAAT